GCGAAGCCTCATGAGGGTTTATGGGAAACATAAAAGCCAAAGACACAGAGGTCACACAAACACCGCCCTGAAGAAAGCAAATAAAATCTGATCTCGGTTCCCCGCGCAGCGTCTCTCCCTGGTGACAGCTACTCTGTCACCGCCCCAGGGACGGTGTCGGGACTGTGGTACCTGCTCCGTCAGGAAGGAGGGCTTGTAGGCGCCGTCCGTGGACTTGTTGCCGGTGCCCCTCATGGACTTCATGTGCGACACGGCCATGCGGAGGATGGTGAGCTTGTCCGGCTTGCGGGCCAGCGCGCTGCATGTGGGCACCATGTCCGACAGCTCTGTGATGTACTGCGTCATCTTGTTCCGCCGCCGCCTCTCGATCTCGCTGTGGTTCTCTCTTCCCGAAAGCACAAGAACAGGGCGGGGGCGGGGAAAGAGACGCGTCAGAGCAGGGGTCACTGCCCAACGGGACAAAACGGGGCACATCCTTGAGCGCCAAGCGACCAGGAGACACACGCGCCCCTGCAGGGGCTGGTGCCTGGCACGCTGGCGGCGGTGCTCGGGCCCTGGCGGCCTGTGTCCCTGCATGGGGGGAGGGCGGGTGCCCAGGCCGCCAGGGGGGCCTCCGTCTCCCCTTGAAGTGTGTCCCGAACCTGCCCTTCGTCCCCAAGCACCCAAGTACGCTCTCTAAGCACAGAGAATTCTGGCGTTATCCTTCGGCCGTGGGAGGTGAATCGGCCTCCGCTCCATCCGCGCAGCGGGATCCGCACGGCGCGATCCACGCATCGGGACCTGCACACTGCGATCCGCACTCCGGGACCCGCGCAGGGGGACCCGCGCAGGGGGATCCGCACAACCGATTCGCACACTGTGACCTGCGCACCTGATCCATGCGCCAGGATCAACGCATCAGAATCTATACCCCAATCAGCACCCTGGGATCCGCACACCTGATTCACAAGCCAGAATCCATGCATTGGGATCCGCACACCCGATCCGCACACCCGGCCCTGCGCACCGGGACCCGCACGCGGTGGGCGCGCTCGCATACACCCGCACGCAGATGTAGCTACCCCCGCGGGGATGTGTGCTTTCCTTCCGCCCCAGCGTGAGAAGCACCGCATGGCCCCGCCATTCTTCCGTCAGACAAACCTTTGCTCTGGCCCCGCACATCTTCCACCGTCTAGGACAGGCTGGCCCCTGGCTCATTAACCAGCCCGCGGCCAATTAACCATTAAAAGGCAGTGAGGGATGACTGAAGTCAATCTCCGTGGTGGGTTACGACGGAAGATTAGCAGAGAGGACGGTGAAATGTTTGCATCTTGCTATCATTACCTTTAGGATGAGAGAGTAGGTGTCAGCTCAGCTCCACAGCCCGGCACAATGTTACCTGGGTTTAAAGAATGGTCTAGAAAGATAGTTGTCTGAAGGAGGATTTAGGGTTTCGCTGGGGCTCCGAGTAGGAGAGGGACACGGACAGCACAGGGTGCATGAGGCTGCCTGCCCACCCCGTGTCTACCAAGTGGGCTGAACCCCACCCTCCCAACCGGGCAATACACCGGCCATTGGGCACAACCACGCGCCAGCCGTGTACCAGCCGCACACACTGAGGGCCACTGCCTACACCAGCAGGGGAAGGCGGGCCCGCAGCGGAGCTCACGGCACTGGTGCGAGCTGACCAGCCCGGTGGGCACTTCCCACCCTCTCCACCCGAGGAGCACTGAGCTGGGCACTGCACGGGAGGGGACGAGAGGAGATAAGGATCACTCGTGCCCATCCTCCAGCAGCCAGGGGGTTAACTAGGAGGGAAAGGAATTGCCTTGCACAGTCTGGAAATGAAACCAGTATAGAGTTAAACCCTGTGAAAGCATGTGGAACATAAAAACCATGGGGCAGAAGGAGAAAGGACAGAGGCAGAGGCCCAGGGGGCCACAGGGCTGGAGGGGTGGGCCAAGACCAGGAGGTGTGGTGTGGGAGGAGACCAACAGGATCAGAAAAGTGCGAGCAGGCCGGGTGGTCGGCAGGCTCGACCTGGAAAGCAGTGAGCAACAGGGAGCATGAGAAGTCGGGGGCTGCCTGAGCCCAGAGGGAAAGATGGGAGAACCCACGAGCTGAGAGCTGAGCAGTGGGACCAGTGCAAATGCCCTGTGGCAGCACCTGCTCCTCAGGGCAGACCCCGGGGCAGGGAAGGACGCCCACTATTTAGGAGAAATGGCTCTTGGGTAATTGGACAGGGCCTGGTTACGATGGGGAAAAGAGAGGTAACCACTCGGTCAGGGGAGTCCCATGTGCTGCATCAAACTCCGGGTCCTTCCCTGGAAGATACAGGGAAGATCCTCTCCCTCCTCTCCGCCATTCCAAATCAGGTAAAGAAGCCACTGGAGCCCACCCAGAACTGGCCTTCCTCACCATCCCTTCCCTGGACCCTGCACCATGCACCTGTCACGGGAGGCAAGGGGCACTGGCCCTGGTACTCCAGGAAAGGCTTGGTGAGCTTGCTTGGGGCACCCCCCATTCCCCCAGGCCAGCCTGCAGACAAGCAGAAGACTGTGCAGAAAATGCTACCCGAGGCTGTGGAAGGGGGTATGGCACAGGGCAGGAAGTCTGGCCACTCAGGGACGGCGGTCATGATGCAGGGTGCAGCCCGCCCACACCTCCGATCTCCTGCCCAGGGGCTCTCCTGAGGAGGCAATCGTGCCTCCTCCTCCCTGATAGCAGGAGAGGAGTTCTATCCTGCTGGGCTTTCAGGGAACACCCTTCCTGTCTTGGCCAGCCCTCCCCGGGCAGCAGGGCAGAATGTCAGGAGAGCCAAGAAGGCCCGAAGAAAGCCATTCTGTGCAGCCCACAACGAGGCTGGCCACAGGCCCTGTGGGAGGACCCACAGAGCCATATCCAGTTGGGAAGTTTCCCTGGCTTCTGAGGCTTCTCCAGAAGGGCAAAGGAGGGTCCCTCCCTGGGAAGCAGGCAGGCGCCCTGTCCCCTGAGCACCACGCAAGGGAGTTTTCTGCAAGGCAGCTGGAAGGCACCCATGCGCGAGGCTGCAGGTGAGGTTCCTGTGCAGCACAGAGAGGGAGGCGGCAAAAGCCTCGTTCCTCCAAAGAGGGCCAAGCCCAGCCTCTGATCTCCCTGCCCCCCAGCGGGACACACCCCCTCCGTGTTTCTACGGCTGCTCCCAGCAGAGCGGCCTCAGCGACCCCCACCTCTGACCCCTGCAACCATGCTCTGTGGAAGAGGGGCCTGAGGCTCAGAGGTCACTTAGAAGGACCGGACCAGGCTCTTCCCCAGCCCGCTTCCCGGTCCTGGATCTGGAGCCAGAACTCCCCCGCCCGAGAGGAGCAGCTGCAGCGTCACAGGGAAGGAAATGCCTAGCAGCTCCGGAGAGACACAGCTCAGCACCACGGATGGCCCCAGAGAGGACTTCCACCCTGACCCAGCCTGTTGTTCTCCGGACGCCGTCCCTGCAAGTCAAGCTTCGTCTCTGCAGGACAGAAGCGGAGGAGCGGGCAGCTGGACGAGGGGAGAAGGGCGTCGCAACCGCCTCAGGCACACGAGCGCCAGGCGTCTCTCCGGAGAGACAGCGGGCTCCACCGGACACAGATTTCCGTCTGAAGCATCTTGACCCTAATCCCAGCCCCGACCTACGGAAACCGGGCGTCCCAACCAAACCCCTGCTCTTCTGGTTGCTCGTGGGACCCCCCTCTTCTAAGGTCAACCCAGCGTGTCGGCAACACCTTCTGGTTCATAAGACCCAAGGATGCTGGGGCACAGAGAAGTCTAGAAAATCTGGGAATGTTCCTCTCGGGTCTGCTGAATCTCCTTGCTGTCAAGAGAGCTCACGTGGCCAATGCATGTGTCCCAAGCATGGTGGTAGGTCAGATGACAGAGGACAACCCTTGCTGCTTCCTGGCCATCCTCCCTGCCTCAAAAGGACTTTAAGCATCTTCCGACCTAGGAACGAAATAGCCAGCTTCCTCAGCTAAGTCTAGAAGCTTCTCAGCACAGTCTAAGAATTCCCACTCCACCGGCCAGGAAAGATCCCTGCAGGACACGCACGCCACGCAAATGTCTTCCCCCTTCCGTGGGGCTGTAATCATCACACCTGCCATGGGAACAGGGTGGTAAATCCATATGGAAGGATTCAACCCAAAATATCGCCACACCTCCCAAGCTGGAGGAAGCACGCGCGAGCGTCTGAACCACACAGAGTCAAACGGAAAGTGTCAGAGTATCAGAGTAGGTGGGATGAAACACAGAAGGCCAAGCCCGTGGGAGGCTGCCCTTCACAACTCCCTCCCTTCTCGACGACGGGCTGCGCCCCGCAGACATAGCCGGAGCTCCAGCAGGCGGAGCTGGGTGCTGCAGGCGTCCGGGGCAAGAGACAGGCCACCCGACGGTGGGACCTCAGGAAGGTCATGTAGACCCATTCTCTAAGGGTGAGAGAGCCCTGTAACACCGCCAGGGTTTTGGTTCCGAGCTTACTGGTCATCCCACACCCATGGTGTCATAGCCACAGTCAGAGCCTCAAGAGTGCCTGCGAGGTCGTTTAGAGGTTTGGAGAAAAGGTACAGAACGAGCCCAAATACGGCAAAAATCAGGTTGACAAGAATGACGGCAGTGAGCACTCGGTTGTTCTAAGCTGTAAAGTGAACGTTCACGTATGTGTATAATGGAAACGTTACAAATACATTTCCGTTCCTTTCCTTTCACGAACTGCGCACGCACGCGTACAGACGTATATGTAAGTCACACGAAGGACGGGGCGTGCAGCTCTGACCGCTGGTGACAGCACGGGTGTCAGCCGTCCGTCCCACCTGGGCAACAGTATTCCCGCCCCTCCCCATGGGCGGCGGCGGAGCCCAGCACGGGCGCAGGAAGAAACCCCGGACTCATCAGAAAACAGACGGTGGGGGCGGCGCACGAAGGAGGAAGATGGCCTGAACCACAGAGCGTGTGGGCTGGGCCTCTCCTCCAGGGGGGCTCTCGGTCTTGCTGGGAGGGGTGGGTACTCACCCCCCCCAGGTGGCCAGGGCACCCATCCCAGGCCGGAGCCAGAGGGGCTCGGGGCTGGCCTCCCCAGAGGGTCTGCCCCACTCCCAGAGGCCAGGGAGACTCCTCTTTGGAGAAAGGCTTTGTGCTGTGTGATGGGTTTTCCCGGAGACGGAGAGCCCGTCACCCTCCGCCATGGGGGAACATGACTGGGCAACGGGGACTCCCCAAGGTGCCCATGAGGTGAGGCCGCCCTCCCCAGACTTGGCCCAGGAGAAAGGTCGCTCTCTACCCGTGCTCCTCCTGGCCTCTCTGGCCAAGACGCCCCTTCCAAGACACGCAGGCCCCCCCAGGTCTCTACCAGCCTCAAGGCCCTCGTCCCTGCGGCCCGTGGGCTGCACCAGCAGACGCCGCACAGTACGGGGGCCCGGCACCTGCACGCCAACAGCCTCAGTGTGAGGGGCAGGTCGCCCACCCTCCAGCGGACCTCCGCCAAACCCCCCACAGCTTCAGCGTCCCCTGTGTGCACACGGCTCCCTGCCGCTCCCCACTGCTCTGGAGCCCTCCGTCTCCGGCCCCCTTCCTCAAGGCTAACACTGTGCCCGAGACAGGGGTCTGGGGAGCCCAGGGTGGATCCCGAGGACGCCACCAGAGGAAGGGGTGGGAGAACGGGACGGCCCACCAGCCACTGCCGACGGCGGCTCCCTTCTGTGAGTCTCCAGTCGCCCCCCACTCTCCCACGGGATCGACCCCACGGCTTCCCAGCTCCCGGCCTTGCTCTGGCTGCTCTGGATCTGGGCCTGGGGCTCGGCCCCCTTGGCTGTCTCTCCTCAGCGCCCACCGCAAGGGCCGCTGTCCCCCCGCTGCACCTGCAGGTCCCCCAGCCCTCGTCTGCGGACTGTGGGTATTCTCGGGATCCAGGCAGCTGCTGTCGCTCTAAGAAAATGGACGACGGACTTCCTCTGTGACTGTGGCCGTGTTTCCCGGAGAAGAACGGAGACGGGAGGTCTGTCAGGCAGGACGGTCAAATTTCAGACCACCCTCGAGGAAGGCTGGGAAAGCCAGCTGGGCAAACCTCAGGGGGCAGGGAAGGCACAGCTCAGCTTCTGTGGCACCGAACCATGCTGGGGGCCATCCCAGCGCCTCGGCTACCCTCCTTCACGGGGCCGGCCAGGGGGCCTCCTCGGGGCTGACTGCAAACAGATGGGCGGGGGGGAGCCGCCCCCCACGGGTAGTGCACCGCGATGGTGGGAGAGCACCCCTGCAGATGCCCTGCCGCTCCCCTGCACAGCGGCTGCGGCCCCCAGCCCAGGGGAAGGTGGGGGTGGTCCGTGCTGTGTCTCCAACCCTGAGGGGCTGAGGTGCACCCACCGGCTGATGGGTCTTCGGCCACCCCGCCCCCCGGGAGATGGTGATGCGACCCCAGCATCCTGCAAACTCTCCCAGAAACAGCAGCGAATGACTCACACCCGTCCCATCCTCCCTCTGGTTTGTCGGCATGGAGGGAAGGCTGTGGCCTCCAGAAGCCTCAGTCTGCGCTCTGATGTGCTGACGGCCTGGGTGGACCATGGCCCAGAGGGGAAGGATTGTATCTTAATGCTGGGCCTGCAGACAATGAGCTCGTTGTGTCCCGCACAGTGATTTAACTGCGGACACCGGTCCTTGATGTCGAGCGAACATCCCTCTGTGTCTCTCCTCCCGTTCGTCTGGAGACCCCAGAAGTCATCATTTCCTGAGCTCAACACAGTCTAGAATGTTATCTCGAGGGGGATCCTGATACGAAGACACCAAGAGTCCTCCCGTCCTCAGGAAGGGAGGCTGTGGGAGGTGAGCAGACCAGACAGGGGTGCCCGTGCCCTCATCTGAGGCTAGTTCTGCTTCGGAGCAAACCTTTTCCCAAGAAGTGGGTGCCATCCGAGCTGAGGCTCTCTCAGCACCGGGGGACAGCACCCCACACTTCTGTTACCCAAACTCATGTCTTGTTCTGATGAGAAAACCCGGGGTCATCAGACAGCACAGCAGTCACTGTGTCCTCTCCGCTGTCTCCCTGAGCATTGCGGGGGACGGTACACACTGTGTGTCCTACGGACATGCGGACTCTGGGAGGCCACGGCAATGGGACACCTATACCTCTCCAGTTCGGGGGGAGCGGGGGGAGCGCACTCAGTCACTGCCATGGGGTGAGCAGACCAGGGGGTCCGTGGGCCCGGGGCTCTCCAGGGATGTCGTTCTAAGAACTTTGAAAAAATAACCCAGAGCGTCGTTCAAAGCTGTGAAGTGCAGAGAGCAGAGGAAGGGACCCATCACCCAGGGTAGGGGTTCAAGTTCATCAGCAACCCGGCGTTAGGACTGCCCGGAGTTGGGGACGGATGTCCAGGCAGGCCCCTCTGTGAGTGACCAGTACAGAGGGGCACTCCACTAAGATCGATAGCGTGATCAGTGCCTCTCTCCACACTCCCAAACCTCCGACTAACTTCAGCCAAACAAAACCAGAAAAAAAGAGAGAGAAAGAGGACCGGTCTGCAGGGCTGTCTCTGCCTTACCATACCCAATGGATGGACCACCACCTGCCCCGCGACCCCCTGTGCTCTCAGGGACACGGTCTGCACTCAGGTCAGCCCCTTGAGCCCAGCTCCCTCGCTGTCACACGGCCAGAGAGCGACACGGCTCTGAGGCTCCCACGGGGCAGTCTTACAGCCCGTGCCCAGGATGGGGCCCCCCCACGTCCTTACGGGGCCGTCCTGCCCGTGGCAGCAAAAGAGGCCACACCTTGATAGTCTTTCCTAGACTTGAGCTCTAGCCTGCGTCACCATAAAGCTCAGCGGTCACTGTCTCAGTTAAAGGCCAACCCAGCTAATACCCCGTTAGTGACATTTTGAGGCCAAGTGTCCTCCCTCAGTGATGTCGGCTGGGCATGGCCTGTCCCGGGTCACCCGCGGGCACAGGACAAAGGGCAAGCAAGGGCTCTGACGACAGGCAATGGCTTCCTCACGACAGAAGATCCTGAAATCCCTGCGATGGCCTCGCAGACACGGCTGGCTGCTGGCTTCTTGAAGACCAAGGAACGTAAACTCACCTTGAAAATTTGCTGGGCCCTTCTCCATCTTCATCGTCAAAGTCCA